TAACAATTTGGAGATGGTACCTTCCTGATCCAACATGACTGGGCTGCAGGGCACAAGGCAAAGTCAATAAAGACGAATGTTTGGTGAAGAAGAACATAACAGAGCCCTGACCTCAATTGGACATTGAGGTAAAAAAATCATAGACCAGAAACTGTGAGCCAGAGTTTCTTATCCAACATTCGTGTTTGACCTCACAAATGTAATTCTGGATAATTTGTCAAAAATTTTCATAAACAACCTGAAACTGTTAAATGTGGTTGAAATCATGCAAAACCTAAAGGATCAAAAGGGAAATGATCAAGATGACACCCACGTTCAAAAGATTATGAGTAAGTGCTTGCAATATGCTGTAGTAAAATCAGCATAACATCGAACTTGAAAGTCTTCCAGTTTTTTTTATTGCTCCGACTGTAGACTGTCTCAGATCTACAGTCGGAGCAATAAAAAAATAACATAAAACCACTTCAACTAGCAAACGGGGTCAAGTTTGATTTCCCACCGGAAACAGGAGGAAGAAAAATGAGGTAAAATAATATATTTCAAAGCTCACTGCAGCAATTTTTTCCTCAGTAAATTAATCTGTAACTGTAATTTAAGGTGGGTTTAATTTTAGGCTTCTGGCACATTTTCAGCAGGGGTGCCAACAATGTGAAGGGTGCTTTAAGCGTTAAACTCTTCATCCATCTACTACAATTAAACAAGCCTTTCAAATGGCGTTGAGGACCATAGAAGTCCAGCAGCCTTCAGCTGAAGCATGCAGAGCTAATCAAGCTGATCAAGGAATTCATTAAAATTATATTGTTGTTGTTTTTTTAGTCTCAAGTGAAATTAATTTTAAGTATTTGTTTATTCAACAAGCAATTATGCAGAGAGCTGCTACACATCGAGTCACAAGCTAATAGTAGGAGAGTTTCAGCGGTTTTAGCAAACACTGTAAAATTTTGGAGTAATAGAAAACTTTACTATTTTCATTAAGACACCTGAAGTAAGGTTGTCCTGCTAATGACAAGAAAGAAGTCTTGTCAATGAAATGCAGCTGGGAACGAGAAGCTACTGTATCTAATTACGTTTGTCCTACTTTCAATGAACCTCATTCCCCATCAGCAAACTTCTTGTGTAGCTTTGAGGATAATGATCTTTTCTTATTCCACGGGGGATTCCTCAGAGGAAGTAGTTAACGTTTTGAAATATGCAGCCTCGCTTTAGTGAGAGCAGATTAATGCCAATGGTGAGGCTCAAACATGGCCACTCTGGCCATGTGCGCAACAAGACGCTGGATTTAATTTGTACTGCTTTACATAATGAGCCGACTTATAATTGCTTCGTGCAATAAGGAGTTGAATGTGACCATGCATAGGTGCATGAAGGTCTAATTGGATGTCATGTTTTCCTGCTCTCCTCCTTTTTAAGTGATCCACTCTCTGCTTTGGGAGATGGGATAAAGAGAAAGGTAATTGTTTGGAGCTAATGGACACCATACAAAAACAGGTGGCCACTGAAAGCCATTAAATCACGGAGAGTTTTGTTATCTCCACTGATAATTACTCTGACAGTTTTCCAACTGTTGTCAGGTCAGCCCAAGGCTAACACCCCAGCAATGTTGCATCTGTCCTGTCTTTCGTAGATCCCTTAGTCAGAAGATTTTATGTCCAGGGATACAAAATTACACGCGCTTGGATTCAGTCCCAAACTCTCATCTATATTCATTGAAATCCCGCCGTCGCCTAAAGGGACAGGGATTTTTTTTTTTCCAGCTACTGTGCATTTAGTTTATTTATTGCCCACTGCTCACAATCAATTACCAGGACCAAAACTCATATGTGTGTGATTTTGCATTATTATACATGGAAACAAGATTACTGTACCATGAGGGAATGTCTCTAGTTAAAATGTTAGGTGAAATGATTGATTATCGAGCAGTTTCATGCTGCGAAGCTTCTGCCTGCAGTGTGCTTTTACATGAGAATATGGCCTTATTAATTGGGAGGACTATATTTTCTTTTTTTACCCTGGTACCTATGTACAAAACAATTTAAAAAGAGACAAAAAATGAAGGGAGGAATAAAATTTATTCAAACTGAAGCGCTCCACCACGGTTCTGCTGTTGGCTCTGGCTGCGTGTCCATTTCCTTCTTAATCATTTAGTAGATGCTTTTATCCAAAGTGACTGAGAACGAAAAAATATTCAAAGTTTGTTCCAGTAAGAAACTCTGGCATGAGTACTGAGTGCTGCATTTAATGGGTAATAGTCAAACAGCTGCTGCAGCGGAAAGTGCAGCTCTATCATGTTAATTTGAACATCAGAAAGCATGTATTATTTTTCCAAATAATAAAATCTGGCATGCCTCAACCTGAACGAATGCTCATAATAAACAACGCCTAAAATCACACTACACAGTTAAACTAATTAGAAAGTTTTTAAGATTTCCAAGTACGTTGCACTGGTGTCACAAGAAAAATCACTACAACAGACACAGAACCAATTTGGTTCATATCTACTGCAACATGAAGCAGTTACTTGCTATCTAATTTAGTTTTATTAGGCCAGAAGAAGAATCACAGTTTCAATTGAAGATTTAAAATGTCACTCTGGTATTTTGAGCACAATTAACTCTATGCCCACCAACCACCAAATTAATTTTCTCCATAAAGAGTAGCTTCATTGTTATCCTTTTTAGGCAGAATAGCTAAGGATTAAGCGGATCATGTTGCAAAAGGTATGCTCATAAAGTTTTGTTTTCATTGGTTCGGCAGTAAGCATGTCTGCAGAATCGAATCTCTTTTTTTTATGATTGTTTCCTGCCAAGTGCCTTCAAAAACATTTAAAGCATTCTTTATTGTCTCTGGTTTCCATGGCTGCATGGTGCGGGGCTTGTTTTTTTTGAGTGTGTACCATACTGCTTTGTATAGCGCAATCAATCTCTTTTGTGTTGTTTTTGTGGAAATTTTTTTCAGCTTTTTGCCTTGAGGCAAGAGCCAATAGATCATGGGGCTGCTCCCAAGGTTTGTTGCAGTTGAGCACTCCAACAGAGAAGTTGAATCTGGTGAGACATTTTGTCTGTACATAATAAATCACCAGCATAGCCTTGACTTTAAATATTATCTGTCTATCTATCTAAATTCCTAGCTCTAACATGATCTATTTCTTGTTCATAGTGTTGACCGTTCCTCTGTCTTCTGACCGTAGTTTGAAAACACAGGGGAGAAATTTCCTCGTCTTCGGGGTTAGCACCCTCACTTGCCCGTAAGAGGGGCGAAGAACATAAAAGACGCGGTGGCACTGAGGTACTGAAAAGATAAATGTATTAGCTTCGGCTTAACAATGACGAGGCCGCACAAACTTTCCAAACTACCGCTGCTCCGGTGTTTCAGTTGCTTCAAAGCATGCGCGCTACAGCACGCAGCACCCCCTTCTGCCCTCCAGTCAGAAGGGGGCGCTGTCATCAGTATCATCAGTGAAAGCTGAGCTTGTGCACGAGGGAGAAATAGTGAAGAAATGCAAAATTTGTCATGACTCAAGCAGTAAAACAAGGGCTACTACTTTCATAGGGAATAACTGTTCAGCATTCCCAAGTATCATTATGATGGGACATGTGATAAAACGACAGTGGAAGCAATTGATGCATGCAAGAGTTTACAATTTATTGGGCAAAATGAGAAACTGCGACCATGATGAGCTCAAATGACTAAATATTGTGGGGGTTGAACCAACAGTCCTTTAATTAGAGAAATGTACAGTATGAAAGTTTAAGTCCTAGAACAGTTCTCATTTACATATTCCTACACTTTGACAAAATGAATCAGAAATTTTGTATTTGCCGCCTTTAAAAGCACATGAAGTAGATAAAGTAAAAAAAAAGAAAGAAAAAAGAACAACAACAAAAAAACTCAAATTGTTCAAGTTGCCTGGTGCACATAAGCTTTAATCTTGTGAATCAAAGATGACACCTACGCTATTATTTCAGCTACTTACCTGTTTGGAGGTCTGAGAAAAAAAGTTAGAAGTGTACAATAATGTTGGAGGTCTCTGCTATTCTGCAATATAACCAAGTTAATGACAATGAAAGAAACTTACGCAGCCAATATTGCAACAATGAATCTGCACTGATGACATCCCACGTCCTCACCAGCACATACACTTATAGAGTTGTTGCCTAATTTACCTTGAAGGAAAATATTGCCACTTTTTTCTGCATAAAATATCTAAAGTCTGGGGCCAGAAAATGCAGGGTACTTCCTGCTTTCATTCCTGAACACAGTTGCATCAAATGGCATCAAGGTGAGTGGTGGTAACATCACGTCCCCAAACCGGGAAACACCAGTCATGAACGTGTTCGTTCATTACCTGCCTGGTATTCAGTGGAGTGGAAAATAAGCCCACATGAAGAAACAATTGCTGTGTGTTTTTTTTTTTTTAAACAAAATCGCCGGTAGCATAGTTGGTGTAGAATAAATTTACCTCTTGCATTGTTTTTAATTTCACCTTGCTATTTCTCTTGCTGTCACACAGTGAGCAGGAGGGAAAGCGATCAAAACCCCACCAGGCTCTGACTTACATTACATTCAGTATTTGTATTTTAACGCTTGCCTGAAGGAACAATATTCAGCATAAATACTTTCCTTGCATTTTCATTAGGTTTCGTTGGATTTCCCAAATGTTAGAAGATGTTTAAACTTGTCGGGGAATTTTTTTGTCAGAAGCTAAAGATCAACTAGAAGAATCTAAATTACAACACCTTCATTTTTACATATCTGTCTGTTTTGTAGCAGACATCTTGGGGTCCTCTCTGTCCTAACGCCGGGCTTTCGTGTGCTTATTGGTCTGCACACTTGGATATGAAATCTCAAGGGCAGATGTGGTTTATGTCAACCAAGTGTTCTTGTAAAGTCGTTATTAAAAGGCACGTAGGAGGTCCTTTTAATATATTTGTGTGTAAATATGGTTTCCACACATCTTTTTGCAGGCTTATATATTTCTGTGTTGGTTTCCTCTCTTGCAGGAATCTTTTGGACAGAGACACTTTCTCCAAGTCCGACCCATGTAAGTTCTCTTCTGCAACAACTATTGTTTTGCTTCAGGCGGAAAATGTTTGGCGGGATATAATTTATCGGCGCCTCCTCTGCTTTTAGATTGCATTCCTCTTTATTTTTGCTGAGCTTAAGCCTCATTCGGTTTACTCTGTTGTTTGAAAGTGTTCCTTCAATAACTGCATATCATTTGCACAGTAATGTGACAACCTTTCTGTGCTGTGAGCTAAACTACCATAATGCATGCAGGGTATAAACAGCAGCCCCGTGAATAGAAATGGCTATCTTTTGGGAAGAGAAACTGGAAAGTGTCATAAAGGCAACATTTTTATTTATTTATTTATTTTTTTGCCACTGACTAGAAAATGGAGGAAACATTTTTCATAAGCCCTTTGTGTAAATAAGCTTTGGGGAAAAAAAGAAAAAAACAAAACAAACAAAAGCATCACACTCATCCCGATTTTTTGTGCACGCCTGCAGCTGAACCTGAGGCTATATGCCGGGTCACGTCATTTCCACCTGCACCGGCTTCATCACGAAGCAACACGACGAAGTCAGAAGAATCCCACCCATTAGGACACAGTTTCTCTGATTGCATAGCTTACAGTAAATTGTGCTCTAGGGCCTCTCAAGTCTTATTTTGGAGAGGTTTTCTTCCCCCCGTAGAAGTGGATGTCAGTCAACATTAATCATCAAGTCTGCTACTTCATTATGTTGTCAGGGTGTGGCAGGATAATTAATGATGGATGTCGGCAGAGAAGGAGCAAAAACAAACACTGTTTGTGGATTCGCAATGCATTTTCGAAACTGTTCAATGACGATTAATTCCTCTGTTTTCTCTCTCCCTGTGTCTCTCCGTCTTTCCCCTCCCGTTTCTCTGCTTATCTCAGTGGTCGTGTTGTACACCCAGGGCGTGGAGTCGAAGCAGTGGCGAGAGGTAAGAGATCAACAAGACTCAATCAGCCCGTCCCTTTCTCCATGACAGGCTGTTTTCTGTTCACAACCCCTCTGTCGCCCCCTCTCCTCCTCCTCAAGGTAATATTCTGTGCCAATCATTTGCGATTGATTGACCCTGTGAACACGAGTGCATCGGTCAGCACCGACTTAGCTTCTGACTGCCTGTCTGACCGACTGACTGATTAAGGTGACAGGTACACGCATCTGTAAAGATTTTTCTCTGCGTCGGCCTCCCCTCTGGCTGTTTGAAACAGGGTCGTAATTACACAAAACCACAGAGACTGATAAATCTAGTGGAGTTTTGCAGCCAGACAACAGAGGGAAGCCTCGGAAATTACGACGCACACTCAAAGTTGATGGAAGTGCAGAAAATCTGTGACAAACACGCTTCTGTTTTTGTCACTTTGGCGATGGGCACAACAAATGCTCTCCATGAGTCAGCTTGCAGAAATTATTAAAAATATGCTTCTGGTTTGTTTTTCACCTAATTTCCTTTGGCTCACACCACCAGACAAGTGCAAACTGGTGTGACACAGTTACAAAGGGATGCTGGATGTGTTGGATACAGCGTACTTAGGTAGATGTGGGCAGTTTAATTGACAGTTTAATTGACAAGATTCCCAGTTAAAACCTGACACTGAAAAAATCATGACATCAATTTGAAGTTTGTTGCCACATCCTCTAGGTGTGAGATGGATCGTATAGCTAAACACATATCTTGATCTCTGAACTATGCACAGACTTTTGAAGCTTGAATAGTTATAAAGAATGAATATATTGGTTATAAATACTTCAGGAAAGTATATGTCACAATGCAGAGCTTTTGTGGTTTGGTAAAATATACATTGCTGTGCTCCACGGCTTGTTCTAGTGATGCATCTGAAGGCAGAAATGCAAACACCGTCGAGGGGTTCAAAGGTCAAGTGCTGCCGTAAATTACACCACTGCAGTTCAGAACAAAGCAAAACAAAAAGCTGTACTCTTGTCTAAAGGGAAAAAAAAAAAGCATTTCCTTCAGGTTTTGATTCCAAAGAGTCAACGCAGTTTTTAAAGGTAAATTTTTCATCATGTTGACACCCCTTCTATTGGAATGACCTCAAAAAAAACAACAACAACAAAAAAAAAAAACATTTGGTAACACTTTATTTGAAGGGGGTTGAATAAGACTGACATGACACTGTCATAAACATGACATAACACATGTCATGAACATGAATAAGTCTTCATGAATATTTATGACTGTTGTCATAAAGCGTCATTCGGTAAATTATGACACTTTTAATACAAAGTTGACATTATTCAAAATGTCTTTGATATGACAAATTGACATTAACCAAGAAATCATTACTGTTTAAACTTTACCTTTAATAACATAAAGATACATAATTTTTAAAGCGCAATCAATAATACTTTTATAACAAATTTATATCAGTAATGATTTCTTAGTAACAAAGACATTTTGAATAATGTCAACTTTGTATTAAAAGTGTCATAATTTACCAAATGACGCTTTATGACAACAGTCATAACTATTCATGAAGGCTTATTCATGTTTATGACAGGTGTTATGTCATGTTTATGACAGTGGAAAACCAAACTGGTTTCTTTCTTTTTTCTTTTTTTAACCAGTTTGTAAATGGTGTTAGTATCAGCCCTTCTTTGAAGGCATCATCCTAATTAAGAGTTGGGAGAGTGGTAGTTATATTATTCATGAAATACATGTGCCTTACTTTGTTGTAATTTTCAAAGAGAGCAACCTTTGTGTGAAAGAAAAATCAGATGGTATAAAAATCTACAGAGTTGCGACTGATTCATGGCTTTGTTTCTTACACACAAACTGCTTTACTGCTGGGAAAAAAGAAAAACAAAAAACGTGATTTCTTCAGGTTGTTCAACATTTTTCATCCCTTTTGCTGCATCCTGTTTTTAATGCAGATTGTGTTGCCATCAATGCTCACGATGAATTTAAATCTCAAATAAAAAATACATTACATACATAATATTTAAGGTCTTCTGGCCTTAGTTCTTCCTAAACCTCATTGCACAAAACCAATGTGAGTGTTCCTTAGTTGGTTTTTGTTTCGCGATAAACTGCAGTTTCTTTTTCACATCAAGCCCCAATCCTTTTCTTTTTCTTAGATGAATTTTACTAAAAGGAGCATCACTCACTGAAGCTATCCGGAGGATATGAAAAAGACGTCATCAATCAGTTTTACATGTTTGCAGAGCAGCAGGTTTTTTTCAGCAGGAGTCCTAATTAAATCATGCTATCATACATTTTCCTCTGTAGAATATAGATTATGCCTTTTCTTTTTGGGTGACGTGTTTAAAGACTCCTTTGCTGGGAGGAAACCAAATTAATGTGCTGTGACTCTATAGATTTGATTTTATACCCATTTGCTCGCTGCATGTAACCAGGAACATTGTTCCTGTTTTACTGAAAAAAATCAAAAAAAAAATCTGTTTGTTTAAAACTAAAATTCTGTTTTTGAAACATGTAGTCGAACAATTTCTTCTCACACTTAAATCTACAGATGTGTTTGAGGATGAAGGAGCAGGTTTATTAAGTTTTCTGCATTAGACTTCCACAAATGAGGGAAGTTTCAAATCTGTCAAAGTTTTCGTAATAAGAGTATTTTAAATGCAACAGCCCCAAACTAACATGTTGGTTTGGGATCCAAAGTAATTGGTTTGTGTGAAAACAAAACGACTCGTCGTAGCTGTAAAAGCAACATCTATTAGCCGATTTGAATGACTTTAATGCTTTCTAAACCACCAGCCTAATTGGTTATCAAAATCAAATCAGTCCCACAACATTAGTTACAATTAATTTGATCTGAAAAATGAAATGCATCTTCCTGATAATAGAGGAGCAGAAAATCTAACAGCTCATTAATATTTGCAGAGAAAATATCTGGTCCAATACCAGTCAGTGTCTATTTACCATTCATGAACTAAATAACACAAATTAAGTCTGACATAAATTAAAACCTACAATATAAATAAGAGCATTTCTCTGCTGCACCATGAAATGGTTATTCTGAAGCTGAATGCTCTTTTCTAAATTAAGAATTGAGCTGATTAAACTTTATCGAGTATCTGTTTGACTCTTTGATGTGAAGAAGAAGATTATTTTGATTATCTAAGTCAGAGTTTTATGACCTAGTTTTGATCCAGAGAAGGCAGATAAAAATAGGAAATTGGAGGAAATCAAAAAGGCTCCAGTGTCATTATGAGAAAATCTGTCAGCATTCACATCAGCTTCTGCTGAGGACAGGAACAAAGCACCGCTGCTCACAGGTGTCTCAGGTGCTGTTACCCTCTTTCATCAGAAATTGTCACGGATGTAAGATTTTATCTACAACCTTTCATCTTAACGAATCGAAACTGTATTCCAAACATTGTTTCTAATGAGACATAAAACTTGTGTCTTATCGAAATATTGTCCTGTGGCAGCAGGAGACGATTGATTGCATCAAGTCGAGGCAGCAGAGTAAAGGAAGGACTTTCTCTGAACAGGGGAAAAAAAAAACAACCTGCGACCAGCTGGGTGTTTGAGAAAACAGCACAGATGCACAAAAACATAGAAATGAGAAGTGGCAAATGAGCGTAAACGACAGCAGTAGGTATTCCAGTGACTTCATAGGAGATAAACGGAGGCAAATGGATGAACTCTAAGCCAGTAGTACGATCTAAGGGATGGAAAAATCAAAGCAGATACGGGAGTCCGATCCAGCTGCAGTCGCTTTCGGATGAACAGCACTGCAACCTGGAAGGTCGGAAAATAACCTGGATTATTTGGAGTCTAGATTATTGTTTTGAGGAAACTACAGAGTTTGATTTAGTCCGTTGGTAATCCGGCTGATTGAAGACTTTTTTCACACAACATACCATGCAGGATTTTGGCCTTATGCATGATTTTAAGATGGGAGAGTGTTGTTTAGTTGAACAACTAAGAATTTTTTAAATCTTCTTTCAAAATTTTGTGCTGGCTTTTTTCCTCAAGTACACACACATACACACACGCACGCCCGAAAAACTCATTAAACTGGTAGCAGGTACAGCAAGCAAATATTCCTAAACCAGAAAGTTTGGAGTAAGATGCAAATGTTGATTCGCATCAATTGATGTTCCCGGGCTATAAGGAGCTTCCTTCACCTGTCACAGGTGCCCCACCTCTGGCTTAGAAGCGGTGGGTGCAGACCGAATGGCTCTCCTAAAAAGAGATACGGCCCGAGGTTTTACAGTGCTGATGACAGCTGGCTAAGCAGCAGAGTCAAGCTGTGCGGCATTGATAAAGCTAAGCGCCTCTTTTGCCTCTCTCTCCGATGATGTGTTTTGGCTCTTCTATGAGGAGATATGGTTGGTTGAAGCCCCCTTTCACTGTGCCACCAACCAGCTTTTAATCCAGTTACGGTCCAAGCTCCCACACTGACTCCCAGTCATTCAAATTGCTCATCAGCCGAAGTATATCTCAACAAATGCTATGGATATATTGTGTTTTCCGCTTTCAGCAGTAAATCCCCCCGAGACCCATGTCCCCATGACAAATTGTGTGTTTATTGCACAAAAGTGCTGCAGCATCTCATTACTCTGTTACCGCATGATTTTTAAAGTCTTAATTTGCGACACCCTCCTCTGTAATTTCCTCCCCTCAGTGTACGACAGCTTTCCCTCTGCCTACCACTTTCACTTAACTACAAAGTCGACAGAATATAGCCTCCCTGAATTTGAGCAAAGCCCGGAGTTTCCACTTCAAGCTTCTAGACAGTAATCTGTTTTTTACCGAGATAGATTTTCTGACACCTCTCCACACAATTTTTCTCGTCACGGTTATCAGAGGGGAAGAGGTGTGTGCTGCCTCAGTTGGCTGATCAGGGCTTTTGGTGCCGATTGTTCTGCCTCTGCAAATGCCCGGGACAAAAGTGAGTATACTGTAGCCCCCCTGCTGTCACCCTCAATGCCAGCCACGGAAATTACGTCCCTGCTGCCTCTGTGGAAATTTCACCTCCTCGGCATTAGCTGCCGCTGAGCTCTCACGCTTCCTGGCAGGAGGAACAAGAAGGGATGTGGTGCCACAAGGCTCTTAATCATTTATGGTTTGTGTTTGACGGCAGACTTCAGCAAACCCAGACTCTGTCACGTAGGTTTCAGCAGCTCTAGTATTGTATTTCCACTCAAAAGTATTGGTGCCTCCTGACTTTTTCTCTTTAAACGTATTGTCAGCACGAATCCAGCTGTTCTGTGAAGGCCTCTGAGTTTATTTAGAGAACATGAATGAACAAACAGATTTCGATAGGTTCAAAACGCTGCTTTGGTAAATACTCATTTATTCTATTTTATTTATTCCTTAAAATGGGTACGTAATTGTAAAGCGGAAGGTACAATTCTACCTTTTACTTCTATACAATCTATAAAGTTAGCTGTGCAGTTCGACAGCCTTTAACTGTACACTTTCCAAATTTGGGTTTTAATGGAAGTGTAAAAGAAGAAAGTAAATGTTGAAGGAGAACCATTATAGATGCCGTTTGCAGTTTGTCACAATCCACACAGGGAAGACGGCAAGCAGATCCTCGGGTCAGATGAGGCACATGTCTTCAGGAGGAAGAGGGAAGTTTATGGTAAACCTGGAAGCAAGCCTGACTAAGGCTGCAGAGTTTCGACACAACAAGATCCCTAAACGTACGGCCAGATCTCCAGTGGGGGTCGTCTCAAGGCAAAAAGTTCAACACGTCTGAATACTTTTGCAAAACACTGCAAGCCTCCATCAGTTAGAATATTTTGTCACGATAACTTCTCTGCTGCCACGTTGTGCCTCTCTTTGAGTTTACCCCTAATGAATGCAGTCACAGAAACACGAAATTGAAATTCCTCTATTTTTTTGTCCTCGTTAGACTGTAACGAGGACATGTGTCAGTTTATGGTAGCTTTTTGACTCTGGATGTTTTATTTATGCAGCACAGCGCCAGTTCTGAGTCTGAATAATTAATATTTGACAATTAATGTGTGTGTATGTGTGCGTTTGCAGGGAGCCGCATTATCTGTTTATGACTGAAGGTTCTGCTCTGCGGTTCTGGTTTTTTTTTTTGTGTGTGTGTGTTTGCACTGAAGTTTTTCCCTTCTCATTGTAAGTGTTAATTAGTTGGAGCTAAAAAAGAGATTTGTTTGTTCCAGGCTGTGAAGAAAATATGTCAAGTTAATTTATTTGCGCCTCTGTCTTGTTTCCACCTGTTATTGTGAAGTGGCTGAATGAATTAAAAACAGAAAATTGAAACAATCAGTGATTTCTGATAATTGAATCTGATCTCATAAGAATCCCTTAATTCAACTCAGTCAATTTGGGGCTGATGGAGGAGGTGGTGGTGTGTGTTTTGTTACGCATGACCAATTCTGTGTTCACGTTTTCCTTGCTTTTCTTTTCTTCCCCTCCTTTGCTTCTGTTCTGGTCCAGTTTGGGAGAACGGAGGTGATAGACAACACGCTAAACCCGGATTTCGTCAGGAAGTACATCCTGGACTACTTCTTTGAGGAGAAGCAGAACCTGCGCTTTGACGTGTGAGTTTTTCTGTTTGATCCGGCTCTCTCTGTGAACACACACCGAGGTGTGTGTGTGTGTGTGTGTGTGACTGTGTGCCCTTTTGTAATACAGTTCTGAAATTCATCCCTCTTTCTCTATAATGTCAACATTTTATGAACCCTCTTTCCACTTCATCCTTGTCTTGTACTTTGCTCTCTGTAAATCGGTCTTTTTCTCTTTTGGCCTCTTTATCAGCTGCTCGTCTCTCCACTGAGAAATTATTCATCTGTAGATTAGCAGAATTAGAAGAGGCATTATAAATGTTTAATTTTAAGTTTTGCCTTTAATCTCTCGTCAGCGAAGCAACGCCTGAGACGGCGTTTCTTAAATCCAAGCAGACTCCTGCTCCCTGCTTGTCCTGCTTTTTTACTTTTGAAAAGGTCAGACTAGTGAGAGGGTCAGTAAGGTACCGCTTTGTTTCAAAGTTGGCCAGAAACAAGTGATCGCTTCCTTTAGAAAAGGACTTACCCTTCCAAATAATAAAAAGAAACAGAAAAAAGTTTGTACCTCTTAGACATGAAATCCCTGGTGGACTTAACAAATGTATCCACTGCTGAGCTGGAGGTCTCTGAGGATTTATAAGCTCTTAATGAATTTATTTGACATGCTTTTGTAATACAACACTGGCATGGGAAAAGACGTAGAGAGAGAGAGAGAGAGCTTCCGTTCATAATTAGTGCTACTCATTTTCATCTCTATTTTATTGCAGAAGTGGGAGCTTGGGTTTGTTCAGCCTTAATTACTTTTACATTAAGTCTGGCTAACAAGATGCTCAAAACTTTTTCTGCATTGATTGGCTGTTTCCATATATCACCCCTGGCACAGTTTCTAGCAGCCATAAAATACACAAAGTTTTTCTTGATTACATCTTGAATTGCAGCCTATATTGTCTCTTTTCTGTCTTTTCTGCACGTTACCCTTGAGTTATTTGTTTCATTTGCTTTTTCTAGGTATGACATTGACTCTAAAAGTCCAGATTTAGCAAAACATGTAAGTGAAACTATTTTTATTTATTTATTTTTTTGTTTCTATGTGAATGAGGAACTCGGCTTTACATTTGAAGTGCACGGCTCAGATATTTAGGTTTTATGCAAACCTGTGTTTCCAAAACATCTCTCAAATATATTTTCCGATAGTGAGTGATTTGTGCTTCGACTAACAAAATGTAGTTTCATTTTCCTTTCTGTCTGCTTCTGTTTTTGTTTTGTTTTTTTCTTTACCTAACTCCCCCAGAGCAGTGATAACAGAGATTTCATTTGCATCTGGTATGGCCTCATTACCTTTGTTTCCCCGAAGTGAGAAATTAAGCATTGTACTCCCTCATCAAAGCTTTTCAGCACAGCTCTCTGTGCGGAGGTTTTACAGGTTTTCAAAATAGCATTTATTTTGAAAGGCTGGTTTTGCCTGAAAGACAAAATGCTTTATTGTGAAGCATACGTTTGAAAACGGTCAACAGAGTGAATGCATGTTGGTTTTACCCCCCCGTGCCCCCCAAGCTTTTTATGAATGAGCGCAAACAATACAGTAAACAATATATTTGATAGACTTGGTTTGCATACTACCACATTTACGTATCAAAACAGGAGTTCGGTGATGCGATACCTTCATCACTGTGTGTTTGCATTGTGTCTCACACTCTGAAGATACACCATCTGCACTGGTCGCTTTCCTTCTCTTGCGCTCTTTCACATCCCCCTTCCTCTCCCTCTGAGACTGTGCAGCTCTGCGGCTCCCCTCTCTGCCTTTCTGCTTTGTCAAATATTCATTTTCTGCTCTTTTTTCTCGTGGTGTGATGCCAGTCTGGTTTTCGAGTCATGTGTCTTTTTGTTCCATGATATGCTCTGTTGTGTCACTGCTGCTGCCTGGTCTTTCTCTTTCTTCCTCCTCCTCCTTCTCCACCCTGGAAGCCCAACGACTTTAACGTACGTGTCTGCCTCAGACGCCATTATATATAAACGTACAAATGCCTGTGACGATGCCTAACTCCTCACTGATTCTCCTTCTTACTCCCACGTGATCTGCTTGAATGCCGCTGTCCGTCTCTCTTCCTCCCGCTCCATGCCTGCGTCACCACGGCAGGACTTCCTGGGTCAGGTCTACTGTACTCTTGGAGAGATCGTGGGCTCGCCTGCCAGTCGTCTGGAGAAGCAGCTAGTGTGAGTTTCCTGTTCTCTTCCTTTTATCCGTTCTAAAAGCAGGTTTGATGCTCGCGAATCTGTCCACGTTTCGACCGTCTGACCCAAACTGTCAATCTCAGATGAAAGGAATTGATTGAGAAACACCAACTTGGTTGAAAAAAAAAGGCTCGATATAAACATCTTAAAGCCTGACTGGAACTTTAAACATGTGCCCTCTATTCATCTTGAGAACATTTTTTATGGTCAGATGAGACAAATAATGGAGTCTGTACCAATCGTTAAGTGTCGTGGTGACAGCAACATGCTCACTGCTTGTGGTATTTAAGGATTAGCTCAAAAATGTTTAACTTTACCAGCATTCAGCAGCTGGTAGACTCTGTAGAGATAAACATAAATGGTGTTTTGGTTTATGAGTGGGTGAATGTCTGGAGGTGTGAACAGATGAATGCAATCTAGAATGTAAAAAGTTTTGATTGGTTGATGAGACATAAAAATAACAATAAAAGTCAGTCCTTCTACATCATAACTGGTCCACAGTTCACTTCAGAACTAAGTGGGATGGTTTGTATTTATACCGAAAGCTGTTTCACAAAGTTTCAAACATCCAATTTGTGTAGTTTTTTTTTCTTTTTTTTTTTTTTGTATTGTTCAAAATTAATGTTACATACTTTTCTCTCCAAGTGTAGGTAAAAACCTTCTGACACCAATAAGATAAGCAGATGTTTGTATTTTATAAAAACTGATCTTTTCATTAAATTAAATCACTGTTGAATAATCAGAGCTAAGACAGAGTCGGGAGGAAAAGCTCTTTCATCTGCAGTCAGTTGCGTTTTGGTCTATGATTAAACTCATGTGCTTGGATGGAGATGGGAAATTGAACATGACTGTGAGCTTCCCCAATGGAGTCCCTGTCATTAACATGCACGCCGTCCTCTAGATGCCATAAAGAGGAGATAGAAATAAGAGAGAGGAACATGGCTCTGACACCCTATTGCCTTTTTTAAAATTTTGGAGATCATAAAGTAGCACTGAGGGTGAGAAATGTAACCTAAAAATTACATCTCTATTTTTAAAAATGTATTCATCTTCTATGTATTTTCTACTCTTACTTACTGTCATTCATAAACATAACCATTCTGCGCTGATAAAGTTGCATTGATTATGTTTGGGGTCAGTGATAAAATGTCAGAAACATTGATAAACTTTTTACTGAATTGATAAACCTTTTACTGAATCAAAAAATGCCACTGACACTTAAAGAAAAACAGCAAAAGCAAGTAGAAAGTTTCTTTTTTTTGTCTGTGTTGCTACAGGTGAAATGGGGACCAAGTCCAGCAAAAGATGAGAGAATATTTAAATTTCAAACTACAGTTAGAGTTTAAAAATGGAAATATTTCAAAAATAAGTTATACAGAGTTCAGGGATATTACAAGCTTTGGAGGTTTCGATACTGCTTCAGATGTATTTCAGAGTTCAATATGAATAAATATCATCATGACTAAATATCTTTAGAGTTTTTGCACCTTAATGTTCTAAAAAATATAATTTTAATTGTAAATCTGACAGAGACTTTTAGACTAAAGTTGCTTTGAAAAAGACTGTGATGTAGCCTCTGTGTTGGTTATATTTATGGTATTATTAATATATGTCAAATGAAAACACACTACTTCATTGTTTGTTCATCTTTATGTGGTACAGCACACAGTATTACAAAATAACTACTAACATTGACATCATGCAATAAAATAACAGTCCACAAAGCTTTAAAGACAAATGTGTCAAACTCTGCACTTTTCAGCTTAAGTTATTTAGTTACAAAATAATAAAGAAGACATATATATATATATATATATAATGTCACTTTTTTTAAGTGACATTATAAAGTCTACAGACAAACAAGGATAAAATTTACAACAGATTTCCAAAGCAGTGTCTGTCTGAGCTTTCTCTTCTTAGAAGAGAGAAGCTGCTTGACCAATGATGATTTACAGATATGATTTAAATCCCATGAAGCGGCTTTAGTACATCTGTATCAGATCTACCTGGGAGTATAAAACAACCTGATATCAGCTGGTTAATCAATCTCTGTTTAGGTTGAGTCTGTAGAGATCAGCGTAGCAGGAAAATATCAGTTTATTGTCACTTGTGTTTCTTGTGATAGAAAAAGTTTTGAAGCTAAATTTTTAACATTTTGGAAAACTCTAGAAACTGACTCGCACGTGTTGCCCATATTGACGAAAAGATGAAACGTAGTTGCTGCCTCTCAGCTCAGACACTTGAGAAACTAAAAATTATTCAACTCCCTTCAAATAAAGTGTTACCAAAATATGTGTATGTAAACAGAGCATCAAAAGCAGTGTGATTTTATATTTACTGAGTGTTATCTGAGTTTTAAATAAACCGGTATGAATAAAACAAATCCATACATCATCCGGCTCTAACGAACACCCAGAGATCTCTCCGTGGCTCCGTGAGTGATGACCCTTATTTGGAGGGTGAAGGAGAGTTTATTAAACCCTTCGTTTCTGTGTTTGTGTCTGAAAGACGGCGCGTATTTCTTTTTGTGAATGATGAGGTGCTGCTGTTCCTCGTGGTGGGCGTCGGGGGCTAGTTTGAGAGAAGTGGGGCTTTTTGGTATTGGCTGCGAACTCTGCCAGAAGCTTGTGGGCTGGATTACAAAGCGTGGTGCCCTTCAGTGCTGAATAAGAGGATGAGGAGGATCAAGAGGCAGCGCTCACCAGTGTGCTGTAAACTAGGCTTCACACCCCACATCAGAGGCAACGAGGAGGATCAGCTGCTCCCAGGCAGGCACGACGGATGATATATTGATTCGACAGCTTCAGCGGGGCACCTTGATTACTGCTGAGCTAGTGATGATCATGTTTGCCTGTTTCTTTTTTTTACATGCTACTGTGCTGCCTTATTAAAGTTTGAATACATCTGGGTAGCGTTTTAGGACCACTAGGAAAATACACTGTTATTCTGCTGTTGAACGGCTAAAATGGGCTCACTGCTGGGAGTTTTCATTCAGTTTTGTGAAAGGCGACAACCAAGCAGCCGCTTATAGGCCGTGCGCTCCGTCTCCCTGTCGTGTCTTCTGGGTTGACTGTGGCTCTCTGTACCGAACGACACTTTGCAGGGACTTGGGGGAAATCTTTTAGTCATGCTTACATGAGCCCTCCAAAGGCACACTGCATCGAATGACCTGCTTAAGAAGCACATCAGCTCCCCTTTCTCCATTTTCCACACTTCATCCTTCATTTATTCCTTTTCCTTACATCTGCCAGATTCTTTTCTTTCTTTTTTTTTTTTTCCCGGCCTGACCCCCTTTTCTTTCGCTGTGCTCTTTATAATTTATTTATTCGTTTAGCTCATTCAAACCTCATTCTCTGTCTTCACGGCTTTCACGCTCTCCTTTTGAAGATACGAGATATATTGTCTCAGCGTCGGTGCGCTATGCATAAATGCAAAAGTCACCTCAAGGACAGGTAATGTCAAGTCAAGCAAATTAATTGAAATGTGTCACGCTGCAACTCTTCGCCGCTTAAATCGCATGGAAGATTTCAGCTTTCCTCATCGACCGCGACAGAGCTGTAGAGGAAGTCTTTGCATTGCGACATGATTTACTCCAACTTGCAAATTCATAAGAGTTCATTTTGGTCGTCAAACACTGACCATATAAATGATTACTGACATACAAACTTTTCTTTTATTTTAACCCTTTCCTGCATGAATTACGATTCTTTGTGTCAGGATTTTTTTCCAATTTTTATTTTTATTTTCTTAAGGCATAAAAAAAGTTATTTTATTTTATTTTGTTTAGGTGATCAATTGTAATTTTCTCCAAATACAAAGTCGTTATTTGAAAAATACATCAGTGATATTGTTCTTTAGGGGTTAGCTGATGTCACAGTATTTTTTTTTTACCTGCTAGATTCATCTACAGTAGAAGGAGGGACCGGGTCGGTCGGCATGCTTTTTTGTCTGTCAGCCATATTGGATTTAACAAAAATAATTTCTTGCATTTGCAGCTGATGGCCAGTAGTTGATGTAGTGACCACTCTGCATGAAAGGGTTAAAAATGCCTTTAAAAAAGTTCATAGAATAAAACGCAACCTAAAGGTCTTATTACAGGCTAACATGATGCCACCATTTTGATCTACTTTATTATGTAAAGTTGTTCATCAGTTTAACACAAATAGCACCTCAGTCTTTCCCATGGAAGCGACTGAATGAATTTAGCAATGTAGACGTGGTGAAGATGACCTGCTAAAGTTCAAACTTGGCATCAGAATGAGGGAGAAAGGGCATCTGAGGCACTTTGAACGGGATGCGGTTGTTGGTGACAGACATGTTAGTGTGTGTAGAGGAACACATATAAATTAATTAAATCTGTAATTCATCCCAGCCCTCCATCCAAACTCCAACTAAAATCAAAGTTTACATAAGAGTAAATAATCCTAAATTACACTATTGCCAGAATAATTGTTTGGTGAAACGGTAAACATTGGGAAAATGAACACAGTTTTTCTAGGACACCAAACTGTTTTTGGTTCACAGGTGTTTTTTTTTATTTATTTATCTCCTTGCACTACTTTAACTTTTGTCAAGCAATTTTCATATTGACTTAAGGAAAACATCATGACATGTTCATCATCATAAAGTGCTCTGCATCAGCCCAACAACGAAAAGGAAAATCCTGACATCCTTGCTCTATGCTAACTTCCTAAAAAGCTTGTAGAAATTTGCGCCTCAGTGACAGGAAGAGTCCTACATTATTATTGTACAGACGTAACATTTGTTTTGCATGCCAGACACATGAGAAACAGTGGAGACAACGCAGGTGAATGGGCAAAACATGAAGCAGCAACACAGTTTTCTAACACAGCAGAAACTTTGGATTGCACTGTTGCAAACAACGTTCTTCAGATTCACATTAAGAGGAGAAAATTTAACGGGGATGGTCATATCTAGAAAATATTCAGATGCATAATTATTTAGAGGATTGCAGCCTTTTA